ATTGAAAACAATGTTTTTGTTTGAGTTTGACCAATTCGTAAAAAAAAAACCCAAAAAAAACAAAAAAAAAAAAAAATAATTAAGACATGCGTGTCCGTCAACCTTAAACAATAATCTTTGTCAATTTTATTTTTCAGTCTTTATGATGGTCGATACTTAATCTATCTCTTACTGTTACATCCCCGGGCAACGTCGGGCTCTACTGCTAATCGCTAATAACTTTCTGATAACGTAATAATGCATGCATAAATGACCTCACATACAGCAATAATTAACGCATTTGTTTCACAGTCCAGTGCTAATGGGTAAGTCCATCTCTCAGAATCAAACAGATAAATAAATCTATTTTGTATTACTTTTAATTAGCTTTCATATTGATACGATTGTTTTTGTATTATATATTCAGATAGCGTTGTATTTAATAACAATTTAAGATTAGACGACCTTCTTTCTTTTTTTCTTTTTCTTTTTTGTAAAATTAATATACTTATTTTCTAATGTATAAACCTTGATCTTATTTCAGTTTTTTTGACATTATGTATTCTCCTTCGTTGAAAGCAAGACTGCCATTTATAAATTCCTTACTTTAATTTTAAAGAAGTGTTGCGGATTTGAATCAACCCATACCAAAGAAAAAGGCAAAAATGGTATTTAAATATAAAAATATAAGATATTTTTATTTTTTTTACAACTGAATTTTTCTTAGTGCGTATGAGTGTTAAAGTTCTTACAGTCCTTTGTTTATAGTTGTTTTCCAAGATGAAAAGAAATGTGATTTCTTTGTGTGAATGTGTGAAAAAGAAGAAGAAAGGGAGAAAGTGAGGAAGAAAGTGTAAGTGTCCCGTAGTTTGGCGAAGAAGACGGATGAATGTGTAAGGGAATTTCTTTTAGGTCCTGCATCGTGACCTCTTGCCGTTGTCTCTCCTTACTGGTTTGTCTGCCTGGAAAACATTGCTTAAATACCCTTCAAAGGGATCACGAACCATGTTTTTTATTGTTAGCAGGAACAATGGTTGAAAAATGTTAAATATTTATTTGCAAAACATTCATTTATTAACCGGATCCTCCGACTCAGAAATCTTTTTTTTTCTGTCTTGGTGTTTATTTCCGTCTTTACCCCAGAGAAGTTTTGTGATACTGATTTCGTTATATCAAAAACAAAATAAAAAAAAAAATAGAATAAAGATACACATATGCCGTTTTAGTCCAGCGCAATCTTGCGTGAACGTACTAAAATGTAGTCATGCTTAAAAAATATGATTTCAGTTTAATTTTTATTAATAATTACGAATATGTATATAAAGAAGAGCCTTCTATGTCAGTTGATTGCAGAGATTCAAAAACAATTTACATTATATTTTGACTTATGTTATAATTGTTTATGATGGTCGATTTATATCAAACAAAAGACACGTAGTGAGTCATGTATGTCTTTCGACCGTTGCTATCGATGAGTATTTCACACGTGGGTGCTCACAGTGGTTAGTTAAATCATCTACAAAGCAAAGTAACAAAAAATTCAGTGATACATAGAAATAATGATAAAAAACAACATGGCGTTATCACTACATTGCTGTTAATATGAGTGCCGCCTATTTCTCTCATTTTTAACAATTCTTCTAGTCGCTGACTATTCAATTTATTTCTTCTGCCTGTGTACATGTGCGTGCGGATGTGTCTAAGAGGAGTACATATATGGCTGTTGATGGCAAATAATAAGCAAATATATCCTGTTCTTTTATAAGTCATGACTGCATGATTATTTTCAGTTGGAAAATTTAAGTTTAAGAATCGCGTGAGAATTTTTGATAACCTTTGTTGCAGATTTTTAAAATTATTTTTATAGCTGCATATTAGCGTTATAAAGGATATTTTTTGAAAGCAGACTCTAAACTAGGTATCTCCAAAAAAATCGATACCTATGTTTAACATGAATTTAAAAAATGAAAAATCTTTCTTGAAGCTATAATCTTAGTTTTAATTGCAAGCTAATAGATTACATTTAATATTCCCAATAAGCAAAATATACCGATAGGTACCTAAATGAGATCGCTGGAAAATGAGCATAGCAGGATAATAACGGCCTTAAACTTGATGAAAATAATTTTTTATCGTCTAAATGTTTATGTTATTATCAATAAGAAAGATCAAAGTATTTTTTGGCTATTTTTTTAGATTTTTCAATAATTTTTAGCACGTCCAAAATTTTCGTTAAAACTCTTGTATTTTTTGGATCAGCAAAATTGACAGAAAATCGATTGTCAGTCATTTTTTTAACTTTTGTTTACAAAAGTGAAAGTCTCCGTTTAAAATTTGTTTAAAAAATCAGTTATGATTTTTTTTTTAAATTAATTTAAGAAAATTAGAAATTATAAAGTTTATTTAATGTATTTTGAAACAAACATTACTTACTTTCTGCGCTGAAAAAAATGTACGTTAAAATGATAGAAAGCCGGTCTTAACAGAGGTGTTGATCAACAAGTAACGTGTGCGTGATTTCATCTTACGGGAGGAAAAGTTATAGTACGAAAGGTCACAAGTGACAGTCTAGCTTTATGTGAACAACTTATTTACCTCGTTATTTTTAAGTAGGCATAGCATGATAAACGGCCTTAAACTTGACGAAAGCAGAATTTTATCGTCAAAATGCTTATGTTGCTACCAACGCAAACAACGTGACGGGCTAATGTTTTCATGATGCTTCCGGTCTTCCTTATATTTGAATTTAAGCTATTTTTGGACACAAAAAACATGTTATATTGGATTTTTAGCTATTGGCAATTTGCTGATTGTAACCAACTTTATTTTATAATCTGTAAATTAAATTTATCTACTTAATAACACCATTGACTAAACTGTACAACATTTTCATTAATTTTAGAATATTTAACAACTTTAATGTGAAAAAAATAAATAATTTAAGAAATAACAAATAATTGTTGTAAAAATTTATTTTTTATCGAAAACATTTTTTACTTTCAGAAAATATTATCCATTTTACAAACAAGTGAAAGCAACTAAAAGCTTTTGAAATTAAATAATATCTTTGTTTTATTGAGTTTTGTATGTTACAATTCAGACCTGATTTTAAGGTGGAAGGGGGTCAACTAAAAAATGATTTGCATTCCTTAAAGCCTTGTGCTTTTAACTAATTAATCATTAAAACTGTACAAATTAGAATTTCATGAGTTTTCATAAAATTAATTATGGGGAGTGGTTAATAAATATAAAAAATTTTTTACTATGACTTTAAAAAAAATAAACCTATTTATAATAATTTCCATCATTTGTGAATAGTTTCTGAAAGATTAATTACAATCCGAAAATTATTTTTATTTTTGCAAGATTTTCAAAATTAATGACTGGCCATTAAAAAGAAAATACACAAAAATCCGCCATGTTATTTAGTAAGACATTCGCTGATGATGAAAAACCTCGTTTCTAATAAAGACAAAACTGTTTATATTTTTGAGATGAGGTATTATGTACATTATTTACATTATTCGGACTATTGTCCTCATCTTTGCCGCCATATTTATTACAACGTTTCGGCCGTGGTACGCTCCGGACTTCTTCAGGTGGTTAGAATGTCGAACTGAACCCTTTATTTCACTCTCTGGGGTAGACTGTTCTAGTTCCACGTGCTATGGACACATGGCACAGTGGATAAAGGTGTTGGTTAGATCCAGTGACAGGACCCAAAGAGTGTGAGTTCAATACCCGGCTAAGGCAGTGGAGAACTTTCAGAGGGAAATTAACAGGAGATAACTGATAACTGGCATCCATTAAAAACATGGCACGTGGAACTAGAACAGTCTACCCCAGTGAGCGAAATAAAGGTTTCAGTTCGACATCCCAACCACCTGAAGAAGGCCAGAGCGTACAGAAACGTTGTAATAAATATGGCGACAAAGATGAGGACAATAGTCCGAATAATGTAAATAAAGACAGAAAAATTTTGAAAAATAACTAAAAATTACTTTGTTCTTTCCTCTTAATAAAAACATAAACATTTTGACGATAAAATTTTGTTTTTGTCAAGTTTAAGGCCGTTATTATCCTGCTATGCTCATTTTCCAGCTACATCATGTCGGTACCTATACCGATGTATTTCAAACTGAGTTTGGATTGATTAGAATCATTTTCCTTCTTATCAGTAAAATCTATAAATTCATCCATATTAACTGATCTATGAAACACAATTCCATTTTTTGCGGGGCACGAAGTTCCAACGTGGCCCGTTTCTGAATGACTGAATCGGTTTAGGGATTAAAAAAAATTTTTAAAAAAACTTTACGGGCGGAAAGGTGGACGGATACGCGAGGGTTGCACTATGTGTGGCCCTTATGGCTTGCGGGATGTGTCACGTGACTATAACACAGAAAGTCGAACATGTGGCACAAGTTACGAGACAAGGGAATAAACAGATTGAAAGTTGCTGTTCCCATTCAGTTATCGTTGCGAACAAGGTTTTTTGAGCAAGGTGTATGATCGAAACCAAATTACATGCAAGACTGTCAAGTGAAAATGACACACTTATATGTCTCTTGGAAACGGTTCTCGGAATTGGTTTACTTGTTGAAAAGGACCAAACTGATCCATCTCATTAAATATGTGACGATCAGTTTCGTCACCAAGTTTGGGGAAGAGAGAGATTATTACTATAAACGTGGCGTTTATAGTAATAAGAAATCTCTCTCTCTCTCTCTCTCTCTCTCTCTCTCTCTCTCTCTCTCTCTCTGCAGACAACCCTTTTTATGGAAGCCTTAAAAGTTTCAAATTTTTATTAAAGAAAATGTATCTAAATATAATTAACAGCAGGAATTGAACTTATATTCTCTTTTTAAAGAAAATATGCCTCTTTAATAAAACTTTCGATACTTCTAGGCTGGTAGATATCAATTTAACTGTTTAAAAAACAGGGATGTTTAGTGCAACACATACTCAAGAAATAATGCTGGATTAAAACCATAAACCCATTAATTAAAACCATTAATTAATTAAATGTGTATGTGTTCGTGAGAGAGAGAGAGAGAGAGAGAGAAAGAGAGAGAAAAAGAGAGAGTGGCATTTCTGCATAAATAAATGTTTGAATTTACTGAATATACGCCGTTTCTATATACGTGCGTTTTGGAGCCCTTGTTGAATTTCAGTGATATGTAGATGCCAAATCAATAAAACGATTCTTGGTTTACTACCAACAGCTTACGCTCTGTTTTTTGGCTGTTTTTTTTTGTTTTGTTTTGTTTTTTGTTTTTATCTATGTTCATTTTTGTACTGAAACGTGACAAAAGTTTCTATTTTCGAACAAACGTCTTTATGCAACTATCTGAACAGTTCAACAATTTTTTAGGCGGATTTATCAACTAACTGAAAGGGAGATATTTGAGGAATAAACCAATAATTTATAGAAACACTTATGAGAATACAATTTATTTAGAGAAAGAAACAAGCGATTGGCTTATTTAAACAATGTCTTTATTCCAAGATTTATTTTGCTCATTTTCTTATAATTTCAAGTTAACGGTTGAATTTTGTGGAGCTGAATCTTTTGAAATGTTCAATCCGTGGGGTTACCTTCTATCGTTGGACATTTGTTCTATTTGCTTTTCAAAAAGGCATTAAATTGTCTTTTTTAACGTTTATAATTCATTTCAAAATAGTAAATCCTATATTCTAATGAAATAAAAATCAACCCCAAAGGATCGTTTTAACATTACTTCCCTTAGGCTGACTGTATGGGCCCGTCGAATATTTTGAACCTTTTAGTCAGAGGCGCCACCAGTAAGAATGTGCATAATAAAATTGACTTCATTTTCACAAGGAAGGTGATAATGCCCTGCTGTCTTTGTTTTGTCAATTGAACACCATCCACCATAAAATAGACCAAAGAGGGAGGATGTTTAATTGCAAACCATTTTATAATTTAATGTAAGGAAATTACGAATTAATTTATTATAAAGTTAATTGATATGAATACATAAATTTGTGAATGCATTATCGCTATATCAGTCACGCCACAGAAATTCTTGTAAGTCTTCCTTTAAAAAGAGGAATAAGAATATATTTAAACTTATTTAAATGCTGTTTTATCGTAATCAACGAATTACTGGACTGGCAAAGGATCCTCCACAAGTAAAGGAATAATAACAACAACAACATTATAAATATCATCCGCAAAATCCTCCCCATCTCAAAGAAACGTCCCAAATGCGCATAAATAACTCTCCGACAGTGGCCTTTTTACTAAAACCCCGAAGTGGATTTGGTAATTAGGCACTTAAAATTACTCTCTGGTAAGATTATACCACACACAATAATAATAATAATAATAATAATTTTAAAAGATGCAAAAAAGTTCTCACAAATACAGCTCACGCATTATGAAAAGCTTTATCTATGTAAAATATGTGTGAACTTAGGTTTTCTTCTTTTGTTTTTTTCTTTTGTTGTTGTTTTTGTTTATAAAAATGATCAGTAAAAAATGTCATGAAGCCATTTCTGACGTTAGGCCTCTAGCTGGGACTCAGAAGGAAATGCTTATACAACAGAAACCAACGGAAATAATAATAATAATAATATTTTAAAGAAACGCAAGAAAAAATGTACTCACAAGTACAGCTCACACATTACAAAAAGCTTTATCTATGTAAAATGTGTTTGATTTTGCGGTTTTTTCTTTTTTTTTTTTTTTTTACAAAAATGATCACTGAAATATGTCATGAAGCCATTTCTCATCTCAGGCCTCTGGTTGGGACCCGGAAGGATATATGTATACAACAGAAATCAAAGTAAATATAATATCAATAATAATGATTCATCAACCATGAGTACGAATATCAACTAATTTTAAATATTCTCCCAATCATACCAACTCTAGGGGAGGAAGGATATTAATATTTATTCATTCATACTATTGAAATCAGTTTTTGTTATTTTTATTGTTTCTACAGCGTTCTGCTCAATCCACTCTACAACCATAGACGGGTATAGATAGCAGTTGTACGTGTGCGTGTGTGTGTGTTCTTTATGGTGGCTGCACATTATTCAAACTTTGCGTTTTTCGAAAAAATAAAACACAAGATCGATAATAACTAAAAATAAATACTAAAAAGTAAAAGAAGAAAATATATTTCTTTAAGTTTTGGACTTTAGTTTTTGTAATTCAAATTAAGCTAATACGACACACTATTTTTTCTTCCTTTCTTTTGCTTATTTATTCATATTTTTCCAATAACGTAATTCAAACTGTCAGAAATGACTTTCCTGGAAACATGTTACCGAAATAACTCAACAAATCAATAAAGAAACAGACACACGTTATACTCCATTGCAATTAGATGTCTTTCTGATTCATTCTAAATGCCGGCTGGATGTGAACGCCATGAAGGTAGAGAACAAAATAAAAACAATCATTCTCTAAACATAGGCTCCGAGCATCACTTTCGGTTACCGAAGTGAGCATCGGCAACGAAAGCGACACTGGCCAATCGCGAACGTCCCCGCCAAAAAGCCGATGTCCCTGAGAGCTGCCAGATTTGCTTAAAATCAGGTCTCTCGTAACGACCACGAGCAGTTGCAGGCTGACTCCCGGATTCTGCAAACAAGCATGCAACCCACTCGGGCTACAACTGTCCAAACAGATACATCAACCTCGTCACCTCGGCAACCCACGGCCGTCACTTCGGCATAGCCGACTCCCTAACAGACCTACAAGCCATGCCAAACGAACGTTACCTTGACTACCAACGAATCGACCCACTACCGTGACCTCGATCAACCAATACATGCGAACGACCATATCCTGTGATCAAACCAACAGAAGAAATAGAACTCCCAGCGCTAACCCTTACACCGGATCGCCATCCTGAGAATCAGTAACAGAAATTGACATTTCACCGATTTCCCAACAACTCTGTATAAGACACTCTATATATTAAACAGATACACGTTGTTCAACAACCTAATCCCCATTATCACTTTCCTTTCACGACCAAATGCATACACACACACACACACACACACACACACACACACACACACACACACACACACACACACACTATTTGCAAGATGTACTGGAAAATTTAACAGTTAAACGTCTACTCTAATCAAATCAAATTCTTCTGTCTTAAGTTCATAGAGGAGGCTGTTAATCAAATACAAGAAAGCCATAGACGACGAACACATTTAAAATCAGTTGGTTTTTATGTGTAATCGAATATATTGAATAAGCTTCTTTATTTATATATCATGATAGTGTTATCTCTGTTTCTGTACGAAGTAAATGTTCTTTCTTCTTCAATTGCTACAAATAAGGATAATTATTAGCATTAAATAAGGAATCCTATCTGCCTTCAACTTGTAGACATGCCAGGTGATGTTGCGGTTTCTGTAGAAAGTAGGTTAGACAAGTTGTAGTTGGTAACCCCATGTCCAAAGTCATAACTTTCCCCAAAACATAAGTCTGCAGACTCAGCATATATTTTTTTTTTTTTTTTTTTTTTTCTTTTTTTTTTTTTTTTTTTTTTTTTTTTTTTTTTTTTTTTTTTTTTTTTTTTTTTTTTTTTTTTTTTTTTTTTTTTTTTTTTTTTTTTTTTTTTTTGTGTGCCAATACACAGACAACAATTGCATTCTAATATGATCTAGAACATATATGCAATTAAAATATATATATATATATATATATATATATATATATATATATATATATATATATATATATATGGGGATATTGAAATGTTTTCCCACTTCCCAAAATCTAGATAAATGAGTTTTGGAGGAAAAGGCTTCTTGGTTGGGTTTGAAACTTTTCACCAGCAGTGCGTATATGTACCTACATCAATAAGTTCATAGCCTATGATAAAAAGACGTTTACTTTTTGCACGAAACTCATTAATTGCAACAATGTTTGCCATTCGCAGTTAAGCCATAGAACTGTAATGATGGATATTCGCGTCATTCTCAGATAATAGGTTAATAATATAGCTTGAAGATTATTCAGTGAAATTTTCACATACAAAGATTCAACTAATAATGGCGTCACATAGATAGATAGATAGATAGATAGATAGATAGATAGATCTGAACAGAATGAGATAGATAGATAGATAGATAGATAGATAGATAGATAAACAAGCTGAAATAGATAGATAGATAGATAAACAAGCTGAGATAGATAGATAGATAGATAGATAGATAGATAGATCTCTTGCGCTTTATAAATAGGCGTGTGTTTGCTTCTTTAAAGTGTGTGTATGCATGCATATGTCTATGCACTTTCACATATGTTTGTATACGCGTGTTTGAAAATGGATGTGTTCGTGTGACCGTTGCGTAGCGTTAGTACATATCTTTTTGTGGTGATATGTGCCTACAGCACATGCCTGTTCACCATTGTGTGTGTGTGATTTCATTCTTGTATCCATGTTTGTGCTTGTCATGTAATTCACTTAAATTGTTTTAAGTCTGGTTGTTGAACTCCCAATTGTCATTTTACAACTGCTCGCGACATCTTACTCTAAGCCTCGTACTGTCAAGAATGCTCTGTCTATGCTACGATACATATCTGTATGGTAATGAGTACGGGCATCATGTACGTGTTTACAGTTTCTAGTAAGCAACGTAAGCAGTCTATGCATGAATGTCCATTTATGTATCGGAAGATTGTATCTATTTATTTTTATTTATTTTTTAAGCATTTCACCCCAAGCAAGGCGGGATGCCACTAGTTTGTACGCAGGGGGGTTACAGAGTGGGAGCGAGAGTAAAGAGGTGTGATGGAGGAAAGGATGAAGAGAAGGGCAGGGGATAGTTCAGGGCATCTGGAATGTCGATTGACATTACATTTGAATAACTGGAGATTATAGCTATCAGGGAAACAAGACGGGAGGTGCGAGACATGAAGCTATTGGAGAAAAAGAGACGGCCACATTTAACCGTTTCGACAGTGAAAGGGTGGGACCGAGATGCCAGCCTAGTAGCACGCTTAAATTCATGCAGTCTGGGAACTAGCGATATTAGCTCGTCGTAGCAGTTACCGTGGAAGTATTTGTAGAAAAGACAGAGGGAGGCGATGGCACGTCTGTGAGAGAGTGACTGAAGATGAGATGCCAGATCAGGACCAACCAGATTGCTTATCCGTCTCTGGATCTTGTCGTGGACCTTAAGGCGAACATCGAGGGCACCAGACCGTATATGGCAGCAGTATTCCATGCAAGGGCGAATGGCTGATTTATAGATTTGAAGGATGGACTTAGGCGAGAAAAACTTCCTGGCGCGACACAGAGAACCAACTTTCCTTGCGGTAGATGAAGCTATTGATTCAATCTAATTGTTCCATCTCAGGTCAGCGGACAGTCGTAAAGAGGTGCTCTCGTGGAGTTGAGCCTCAAACGTTCTAAGCAGTTTTGTTTTAGAAGCATTAAAGTTAACCAGCCAATTCCTGCCTCAGTCTACAACCGATTGGAGGTCCTTTTCGAGACTAACGGCCAGGTCAGTTTTGCTAGCGATACCAGATTTTCTATTAAGACAGGAGTAAATAGTAGTGTCGTCAGCATAGATGCCTACTTGGGAACTGATGACATCGGAGAGGTCGTTAATGAAGATAAGGAACAGAGTAGGGCCTAGGATAGAGCCTTTGGGGAACACCTGCGTTCGTAGGAAAGGAGCTGGAGGAGAATCCGTTAAGGATGACCTTTATTACACGGTTTGACAGGAATAATCGTATTGTCAAATAATCGACCTGAAATTTCGTGTCCTTTAATCTTACGAAAGAGGCCGGCATGCCAGACCCTATCAAACGCTTTAGAGATATCTAGTGTCACGACACGAGCTTCTCCGTTATTGTGGAGTGCTCGGTAAACAATTTCAGTTACGGCCGTTAGCACATCAGCTGTAGAACGGGGAAAACGAAAACCATATTGCTTATCAGAGAGCAGATCATGGGATATAAGGTGATTAACCACTTCGGCGCTGATTAAAGCCTCAAAGACTCAAGGTAGGAGATTGATAGGATGGTAATTAGATGTGTTAGAAGGGTCTCCAGAGTTCTTAAAGACAGGTACAATAGATGAGGACTTCCAATAGGCTGGGAAGCAAGATTCATTGAGGCAGTAGTTATATAATTTGGAGAGGATAGGAGCCAGTTCAGGAGCACATTTCTTCAGAACAATGGCTGGTATCCCATCGCCACCGCTAGCCTTATGTGTCCAATACCAACGATGGGGTTATGTGCAACTCGCTCAATAGAGCCTCGGTTCTAGGGGGGGAAATCGGGAGTGGTGTGACAGAGAGAGTTTGGGAAACACACAAACACCCACACACATATATATTTTATTTTTTTATTGAAATTGGAGTGGATTTGAACAGCGAAATTAGATCAGAACAATTTTGTTTAATGAGGGAAACCTGATCTTGCCCATTTTGAATTGGGTCGTTAGAGAAGACAATGAAAAAAATAATCGAAATAACTTTTGTCAGTTAAAATTGAAATAGAGCTTACACAGGCTATGAGAACTTTGAAACTCACATGGTTTTAGGGTTGACAGCGACACTCATGATAATCGCGTGAGGACCAAGGGTCGATTTGGGATAACCAGGCTTATCTATATAAACGCGCACAAAAATCTGTTGACAGAGTGGTTGGCTGGTCTGCCGTCGAGTCCAGACGGAAGAGAGAGACGGGAGAAACCGCGATCAGTCGGCACATGGTCGTCACGTGCGTGAGCGCCCGCAGGCGACGATTACGGGTCGCAGTTCTACAGGAGAGACGGAAGAGCCGGACGGTGGAGCTAGACGGAAGAGGCAAAGAGTGGTTGGCTGGTCTGCCGTCGAGTACAGTCGAGCTGGAGAGAGAGGTCGGGATTGGGAGTGACGTCAGAGAATTGAAACCAAACGCCCGTTAACATATTTTGTTGATATAAGTACGAAGAAGTGAATTACTCCTCCGATGTCTAAGACTACTACTGCTACTATTATTGCTACCACGAAGATTATTACTACCGCTACTACTATTGCTACCACGAAGATTACTACTACTGCTACTATTATTACTACCACTGTAAACGGAAATGTCGAACAAGCTACAATAATCAAGAGACGCATATCGTTCTGAGACGATTACACAACAAGCTAATCACAACCCTCTCTCTCTCTCTGTCTAGAATCCAGTGTATGAGTTTTTACGTCAATTATGTTCTTTTCTGTAACCCATTTCTTTTCTATACTATTCTTTTCTGCTATATAAAAGACATTAACAATTCAACCATTAAATAGTTGTTTGTCCGGCTTTCTGCAGATATATATATATATATATATATATATATATATATATATATATATATATATATTTTAGTGCAATCTAAATTTCTTAGCACAGACTCTCCAGCCGTGTCTACATCTCCAGTCGACCGTGAATGGATGAACATCACTTCTGCTTTCTGGATCAAACCAACGTGGGCAGGAAGCAGAATTAAACCAGTGGACCGGTCGAATGATCTACGGATGCTCAGGAGACCTACGGCCACTCCCTTAAGTTCGGTTAAGATCGAGTAGACACCTCAACCCAGAGAGTAAGACATCGGAGGTTGAGGTGCTGGGGCGAAAGTGGTTAGAGTGGATACACCGGATGAGTCGAACGTTGAGTTAGAAGAGAATTTCCGGGCAAATCACTCAGCCTTATCAGTTGTAGTGTAGACTTTGTAATCGCAGATACAACTATAGTAACGCCGTTGAACAATACTGGTGTCAGACGCCTTCGAATAACACTCGCACTAATAGTACTTCCTCGATAATGCTCGCTCGAATAGTAACCACCGTATAGTGATCTGAATAGAGAAATAGTTTAGTGACTAGAGTAGATAATAGTGATCCGTATAGTAATAGAGGATAGAATAGAAATGCGATATATGTGTTTCCTCTATGGTCACGTGGTCTGCTTAATTCAATAATGGGATCGCCTGTGTTTGCTCACTGGCGATCTATGTTCAAACTCAAGTGTCGGCAGCGACACTTTATTCCTATATAACAGTGTGAAACTATGACAAAAAAAGAACATTAAAAAGATTGATTGATCGAGAGATTGATTCACTTTTTTACGGCTTATCAACTCTATGCAGGTTATTTAAAGTCAGATAATATATTTAGATTGTAAGAATTTTTTTTTAGATTATAATACTTTAGTGATACAAGTTTCATTAATTAACCTATAGCTGAGAAGAAAAGAGTTGGATTCATGCCTTTCCCAAGGGTATTTGCACATAAATGTATATAACGAACCCAACAGGAATTGGAACTCGGCACTCCGATTAATAATTCCGAGCCATTATCTATTACAACAAGTTCGACGTTGCTTAACTTCGGTGAACGTACACGAACCGCTGTTTTAATGAGATGTGCCCGTAAGCGACATTAAGAAGAGAGGCCAATAAAAGATCAGGAATTAAGAAGATAAAAGATAACGATTGATATTATATTTAGAATTATAAAAGAAGCTGTTAGCATACAAATTACGGTTACCTCTAACCAATTCAATTGTAAAATGATGAAACCTTGCCACCAGTTTAGTACTGGGCTTAAATTCATAAAATTCGGGAACCACAGACAGAAGCATTTTGTAGAGGATGGTGAGTAGTATGTAGGCAGGCACCATCGACATATGGCATCCAATATGCGGAACTATTTTCGAAGGTGATGCATTCTACGACAGACACAGTCAATACAATGATATGAATGTTACAATATCATACGATGAAGGCTGAAGACTTTGAAAATTTTATCAAAATATTTACTACCAGTTAACACCTGCATGACATAACCAAGCCACGATAATCTGTATATTCCTTCAGTGTACTGCAATTTTATTTTGCCAATATATATTAAAAGAATCAATTTTTATGAATGAAACTTCGCCGAGTTATGGGTCATTTGAAGTGGTCAGATGACCTTACAAGTGGATATCTTTCATCCGTGTATTCGTATTCTTTGTTTGGCGCCAGAATTAAGCGAGTTAGACGATAAAGTCAGTTGTTGCCGAAATCTGCTTTCAATGCAGATCGTTTACTGCTACCATCCGCCTACCAGAGATGTAAACTATACAACAAAAACCAGCAACTACAAATTGAAGTTAATTTTGAATTATTTCTAACTTCTTGGTGGTAAGCCTTCGTATAATCTTTTTTTTTTTTTTTTTCATTTTTCAGTTACTGACCAAATCCCTAAAATTATAATAAAACATTTTTTTTTGTTTACTATAAAAAAAAACTTTGTTGTTTTTCTGTCGTTCCCCTTTAAATGTCTTTGTTATTATTTTGTTGCACACCTGGGAATACATATGCACACACACACACACACCTATATATATATATATATATATATATATATATATATATATATATATATATATATATATATATATATATATATATATATAATAGTCTAAAGACTGTCACTGCATGATGTTGACCTCTGTGTCGACTTTTGAATTTACATATGCTCTATCCCTAATTACTTTTACCCATTAATATAGCGTAACTTAAAACTACATTTTATATATATATATATATATATATATATATATATATATAAATACTGTTAAAATTTGTTATAATAAGAGAAGAGTCCTCAATATTGAAGATAGAGCGTTTGATAAAGCTATAGCTTAGGAACTTGTGACCGAGTGATTAAAACGTTCACTTTATGGCCATAGGGTCTAGGTTCGATCTCCCCAGGGTTGGTTTATAAACAGTGTGAACATAGAAGTGAACAGAATATCGTTTGAGGCGAAAATCTGATTGTCACTATATATATATATATATATGTGTGTGTGTGTGTTCTTTTTTTCGACCATCACCTTATTAGAAGCATCGTTGGCGACTAATATAATGTTAGCAAGAATCGCGGAGTGATAGACAAACTGGGAGGAAACGAGGAATTACGATTAAAATACAATTTTAAAAAGAGGAGGAAGAAAGAGAGGAAATGGCAAAACGCCAGAATAATCAATTCCAGTGAGTTTAAAAAGGAAAATATAGACTCACATGCCACCCAGTAAAAAAAAAAAGCCAACAAATTAATTTTCCTTTCTGTCAGCACAAAGATGGTCGGTGCAATTTAACGTATACTGCCTCTAATGTGTGCAGATACTTCGCCAACCGTGCTTTGCTCAAAATGGAGAACTACGAATCAATACGAATTATACGCACAATCTGGATTATCTAAGAGGTGTTTATCTATCGCGGTATCTTGTACTTCCTGCGTTAGACATGTATTACTGGTACCCAGTCTGATATTGCCATGCACATGTTTTGCAACTCACGTTTCAAGGCGCTAATTGGTCCGCCTTATGTAGACATGTAAACTTATAAATGACCAAACTATTTTGTAGATAGGGTAGAACATCTTTAACAAACGAAGAAAACTCGGGAACAGAACTAAAAACAACACGCGTCCTGGCGTCAGGAAAACACGACTTAACAATGGATCTGACTGCACCTCTCCAAACACGGCAATTTCAGATACACCGGACACGAACCGGGACCAAACATAGTTAGGGACTTAAAACTTTTAACTCTTCACGCAATTGTACGTTTAATAACGTTCTCCGGGCAACTATTATCTCGGAAAATACTATCAATGTTTTCCATTTCACAATCAAGCTTGGAAGAACATATTAACACACGATGGGCCAAAGTAGAAATTAAATTTAACTTCCTGGATTTGGGAACAAAAGAATTCCTGGTGTATAGTCCAGTAAATATACGTTTATGGTAAACACTAGTGATGAAAAAATCATCCTTCCGCTCAACAAGCACATTCAAGAAGGGCGATGACGAATCACATTCCTCCTCCATAGTGAACCGAAGAAACGGGTGGAGGGAATTAATTTGAAGTTAGAACGCCTCGGCCTCTTCAATGAAATTGAAAACGGAACAAGCATCATCAACATCAACTAAGACTATTAAAGCTTTCCTCTAAATTTACTTATTAGCGATGGCACAGTGAAGTTCATTTTCGTTTATCGAAATACCGACCACCTTTGAACGACAAAACAAGGAATCCATCCATCATGCAAAAGCGAATGGTTGCATAATAAGCAGAAATGCTATGCTAAGCTGTAATCGCCAAAAAGCGGAAAATAAAGCGAAAAATAAAGAACGCTTATAAAAACAGATTTCAAATTTCTCTATTCTTTAAAATGCAAAATATTAGACTTCTTTTCTTAAGGAATTTCAATTACGTAGGACTTATTTTGATTAACCGCGTTACTTAGAAACTTTACTTCGCTACTTATATAAAACTGTCTTTGTTGGCAATAGTATAATTGACAGATAAATATAAAAGATGCACTGATGATTAATTAAAACTCATTTGTTTAAATTATGCACTCTTTATTGTTTGTAACACGTGGCAATAATTGTAAGTAAAATGATGCACTAAAATAAGTAACTAAGTAATCGTTTTAAGTTCTCTGAATATTGGTGCCTTTCCCCAAAATTGCCCAGCACCGCAACAGACGTTTGCACTGGCATCGATTACCGACCCCCTTTCTAGTGAAATGAGAGGGGTACAATCGCGGGCAGCTGTCCCCCGGGACCGGGCACACATATATATGCATACCAAGATAATATTTTGGCAGAACACTTAAGAAAATCGGCACGACAGTTAAGAATCACTGATCTAGAATATTGAAAACCTTATTTTTTTTTTTTTAAATACCTCTCAGTAGAGATCGAACCTGTATTTCTTTTGTAAATTGCGGGCAAACACGTTTGTTTGTTCGTGTCGACGATTAAACATTACAGATAATCACCTGATTCTTAATGACATTTCTGAATCTTCAGTAACTATAACCATATATTTCATATAAGTTATTTTTTTAAATGTCTAAACATTGCTCAACCCGAGAATTGTTTTCTATTTGTTCCATTTGCAATGGTAAATTTTCAATATCTACAATGAATTGCTGAGGAGAAAATAATTGAAAGTGTCCAACCAAGAGTCGACAGATAGTAGAATTTGTTATTTACTAAGCGTGGCTGAGTTTAGGTACAACGCCACTAGTATGGAACACAATGTTAGTATCAGACTTTGCCGTAGTAGTACGATATGACAGGCACACAATAGCAATTAATCATTAAAGAAAGTGTCGAACGAAATGATGGAGTTGCGTTTATTCTTAATCAAAGACGCCAGTTGACTTCCTCTTGGTGTTTGCAGAGAACAATATTTATGTGAGTCATCTACACACACACACACACACACACACACACACACACACACATATATATATATATATATATATATATATATATATATATATATATATATATATATATATTATAAACTGTTACATGGGAACATGCAAGTTACCACGACAAAAATGCATACAACCAACATTAACCACCTGTTGAGATGTCTTTTAGACGTCGAAACAAATATGCATTTTGTTGTGGTTCCTTGCATGTTCAATGTAAGAGTTTATAATGAATATCTATTACCCTACTTTTTTATTGAGCCCTTTTTAAAATTTATATTCTTTCGTTCTTTTACATTTGGATATATATATATATATATATATATATATATATATATATATAAGACTCAGTTTGATGGTTTCTGGGAAGATTTTTAAAAGGCCATATACAACATCAGTGACAATGTCTTGGGTTTAAGAAAAAAGAAACATCAAGATTGGTTCGATGAGAATAATCTCGAAATCAACGAGCTTCTTAAAACCAAAATCGATCTTTATCAGATGTTGAGTGCATCTGACAGTTGATCATCAATCATTTTTCCAGTCCTTTTGAGGCCTCTAGGTCCTCTCTTCAACGTAGATTATGTCAATTAAAGAATCAATGGTGGCATGATATTTCCAAACAAATTCAGGATGCCTACAATCGCAAAGACTCCAAGGTAATGTATGACCTTATAAGAAAGGCCTTTGGGCCTCAGTCAACATATGTAACTCCACTGAAAACTAAGGATGGAACTAATCTCCTTAAAGTTTTCCAAAAACTTATTACAGCGTTGGGCTGGACATTTCTCCGATTTGTTTGATTATCTTTCAGTTGTTGATTTGAACATAATCAACAATCTGCCTCAGTTTGATGTTGTGCATGAAATGGCAACATATGAGGAGACTAGGAAGGCGATTCAAGAGGTCAATACTGGGAAGGCACCAGGACTGGATGGAATTCCTGTTAAGGTGCTCTTACATGGAGGAAACGAAATGGTAAGAAGAATATATCATCTAATTTCAGACTTTTAGAATAGCACACATGTCCATCAGGACTGGATTGATGCAATTCTTGTGTCCCTGTATAAAGGGAAAGGTCAAAAGTCAGAATGTAGCAACTACAGGGGAATAAGCTTACTTGAAGCTGTTGATAAAGTTTTTGCCAAAATCTTGCTCAATCGCCTCCAAAGTCACACCTGTTCTCAAGCGATGTCATAGAGTTAATGTGGGTATCGCATTGGTAGAGGCACAGTGGACAATGATCTTCACAGCCCGACAACTGGTAGAAAAGCCCATTGAACACTGTGTCCCGCTCTACCAAATCTTCGCTGACCAAACTATGGCGATTGACACTGTGAACAGAAACGCTTTATGGACAATTCTAAGAAAACTAGATTGCTCACCTGATTTTGTCAGAGTGGTTAAAGAGTTGCACAGCAACATAAAAGCCAGGTTGAACTCTGTCTGAAACAATTTCTGTTGAGAGTGGTGTGAAGCAAGGCGATATACTTGCACCTACTTTATTATCCATCTTTTTTGCAGTGATGCTCACACATGCCTTTATAAAGTGTAGCATTGGTGTTTATTTGCGTTTCCGAACTACCGGGAAAGATTTTGACCTGCGACGATTTAGTGCATCCACAAAGGTGTTTCAGCAAAGTATTCATGAGCTTCTTCATGTTGATGATGCCGACCTCGTGGCTCATAACGAAGAAGATATGCAAACCATCAGGAATCTTTTTGCTGATGCATGTACATATTTTGGTCTTACTATCAGTTTGAGGAAAACTAAGATAATGTTCATACCACTTCCTGGTCAACCGTATCGCGAACCAAAAATACTTGTGGATAGCAAGAGGTAGTGGATACCTTTGATATTCACTATATATATATATATATATTTATATATATATATATATATAAATTTCTAAAGAATTAATGGACATTTTTAATCCGACATTTTTTGTAATTCAAAAGTGCATTCTGAGGCGTCTATTTCAAACACGGATCTCCACTACAAATAATATATATATATATATATATATATATATATAGGTTAAGGATACTTTATCCGAAATTCTTTGGATCGAAAGTGTTTCTGTTTTCAGGATTTTTCAGGTTTTGGAATACGGGATATTTAATTTGTATATAGCATTTATAAAATGGGACATCTTGGAAATGTAACCCAAATATAAGCACGATTTCCCTTTACATTTCATAAAACAGTTCATACCTATATGATGAAGACAGTTTTATATAAGCAGTTCAATACAACGGTAACGAATCCACTCCATCTATGCACAATCGAAATCATCATTTTTGCTCTGCGCAGTGTTTTTCTATTTTTCATTAATTTCTGTTCATCACTCTCAGTATAAAACTTTAACAATTTCTCCTTTTGTTTCCTTCGGCCGTATACAGTGATTGTTCCAACGCCGAACTCCTCAGTCAGACGCATCAAATCTTACATCGCTGTCTAGTTTTTCCAACACTTTGACTTTCTGTGATATTGAAACAAATATAGATGCTTTCTTATTTCTTTTCACAACTGCAGGACTTTTTTGACATTTTAAATAATATCTTTACTGAGCACGAAACATCTTTTATGAGTCTTCATGTTCGGTTTGATTTGGAGTTTTCTTTGTGGTCTTTTATTGTAATAAATGTTTGTGACTTAGCGGTGTCATTTATTAGCGGTCATCTATGCCTAATGTGGAGCTCTAATATCAGACTTGTCAACTGTACATGATATTGTAAATGTCTTGCGTAAGTTTTCAGTGGCAGCCAGTCTAGAAAGACAAGACTGAATTCAAAACCGTAGAAAAGGCGACGAGAAACTATTCCGTGACTTTAACAAGACGTCACGATATTTCACAGAAACGGAATATGTGGAGAGCTATAATCGGCTACGTCCTAAAAAGAGATGACAATTTAAAAAATATGACTACTGTGTCAGTACAATCGAAAGAGATGTTTATTTTTAATAAAATTAATAAAAACTAGACACTTGTAATGCCATCTAACAGAAACAAAGGAAGCAAACATTTTGGTAATCGTATTTTTTCAGTATAAGACGGACTGGTGTATGAGATACACCCTAATTTATGTATGAGATGCACCCTACTTTATGTATGAGATGCACCCTACTTTATATATGAGATGCACCCTACGTATGAGATTCACTCTACTTTAAGTATGAGACGCACACTACTTTATATATGAGATGCACCCTACTTTACATATGAGAACAATTATTTTTATATGAGATGGGCGACTTTATGCATTACTTTATATATGAGATTATTCCCAAATTTATTTGAGATGCAAAAATTGTTATCGTACAAAAATGAGATGCAAAAAAAAAAAAAATTCACCCTACTTTACGTATGAGATGCACCATAATTAAATGAGGGAACCAAACTTTACGTATGAGATGCATTGAAAGTTTAAATATGAGATGCACCCTACTTTAATTAAAAAAGATGCACGGTGACACGTATGATATTACATTTATTATATAGATATGAGATAAACCCCTACTTTTATCGTGTTTATATTTTTCTCCGTTTTTACAAATGAGACAACCCTACTTTATTATGAGATTACCCTTACTTTATGTATGAGATAAATAATTTAGCGTATTTATTAACCCTTTCACTGCTGCATTTTATCGTATGAGATGCAAATTACTTTTTATATATGAGATGAACCCTCATTAGAACAATTGCCGTGAAAATATTTGTGTATGAGATGCACCCTACGTTACGTATGAGAGGGAAAAATACTTTTATGAGTCGATACTACTTTATATATGGACCAATATGAGATTGCAGATTCTTTTATTTTGAGAAGCACCCTTTTTTTATATGAGATGCACCCTGATTTACATATGAGATGCCCGGAAAAATATATGATTTATAAATGTGCAAGATTATGAGATGCACACCCTACTTTTATATGAGACAAGTTAAACTTTATATATGAGATGCAACACTTTATATAGAAGATTAAATATGAGGGCACTTTTTATACAGAGGATGAACCCTACTTTAAATATGAGACAAAAAAAAAAAAACGTATGAGATGCACCCTAAGAATATATGAGATGCACCCTACTTTATATAAAGATGACGAATGAGATTCACTCTACTTTACGTATGAGACGCACCATACTTTATATATGAGATGCACCCTACTTTACGTATGAGATGCACCCTACTTTATATATGAGATGCACCCTACTTTATATATGAGATGCACCCTACTTTACGTATGAGATGCACCCTACTTATGAGATTCACTCTACTTTACGTATGAGCAAAACCCAAAACGTAAGCTTTACGTATGAGGAAAATAGTTTATATATGAGATGCACCCTACTTTCGTATGAGATGCAAAATGGGACTTTATATATGAGATTAACTAATTTACTTTATATATGAGATGCACCCTACGTATGAGATTCACTCTACTTTACGTATGAGACGCACCCTACTTTATATATGAGATGCACCCTACTTTACGTATGAGACGCACCCTACTTTACAACAAACTTTACAAA